CCTATCCACTTTCCCCATCTCAGCAACTGGCAGCTCCCACTTTTCCAATTGCTCAGGTCACAACACAATACACTTCTTGATCTCCCTCTTTTTTTTTTTTTTTTGAGACAGAGTTTTACTATGTCCCCCTTGGTAGAGTGCTATGGCGTGACAGCTCACAGCAACCTCAAACTCTTGGGCTTGCCTCAGCCTCCCAAGGAGCTGGGACTATAGGTGCCTGCCACAATGCCCAGCTATGTTTTTATTGTAGTTGTCACTGTCTAACTGGCCTGGGCCAGGTTGGAACCTGCCAGCCTTGGTACATGTGGCTGGCACCATAACCACTATGCTACAGGCACCAAGCCTCATCTCCCTCTTTTTTATACCCTACATCCAATCTGTTAGCAAATCCTGTTAGTTTTACCTTTAAAATACAATACGGTTGATGCAGAATAACATGGATTTGAACTGCATAGGTCCACTTTAAGCACATTTTCAATAAAAGGTACACTAAATGTGCCTGCCTCTTCCATCTCTGCCACCTCTCAAACAGCAAAACCAATCCTAACTTCTTCCTCAACCAACTCAATGTGAAGAAAATGAGAATAAAGATCTTTATTATGACCCACTTCTACTCAACAGAGTTAATATCTTTTCTTTTTTTTATTTTTACATATACATGTGATTATTAGGTTTCCACTTTTTGCCTTCACAGAATTAAAAAGGCTTAAAATTTACCAACAATAATAATGTTTAAGATAAGGACTAGACACAAAAACCTCATAAAGAATGAATGAAATTAAATACATTCAGAAATCAGACACTTGCTGCAACGAAGTATTAAGCAATAATAAGAGTAAATATCTTTTCTATTCCCAATTATTTCTGTATTGACATTTTCTTTCCTCCCAATTACTTTAAGTATACAGTATGTAACACATACAACACACAAATTATGTGCTAATTGACTGTTATCTGTTAGGCTTCCCATCAACAGAAAGCTATTAGTAATCAAGTTTTCAGAGAGTCAAAAGTTAAAATACAATGACTTTCCACTGAACAGAAGTCAGTGCCCCTAACTCCTGAAGCATTCAAAGGTCAACTGCAGACACAGAACTGAACCACTTATCACCTCCACTAATATCTCCTTGGCCCAAGCTACTACAATTTGTAGTCCAGAAAAAAGCCACAAAACTAGTCATTCTCTTGGCTTCTACTCTTATTCTCCTAAGGTGTTCTTCCCTCAATAGCCAGACTAGTCCTTAAAAATGCATCAAATCAGAGATAGGGAAGGTGGCTCATCTGGGAGGCCAAGGCAGGTGTATTGCCTGAACTCATGAGTTCAAGACCAGTCGAGGAAGAGTGAGACCTTGTCTCTGAAAAAAAAAAAAAAAAAAGCAGAGAGTTATGGTAAGTGCCTGTAGTCCCAGCCACCTGAGAGGCTGAGGCAAGAGAATCGCTTGAGCCCAAGAGTTTGAGGTTGCTGTGATCTATGACCTCATGGCATTCTACGCAGGGTGACAAAG